TTGTGTGTATATTATGTATGTACACTTGTTGAGTTGTTATATACTCATTTCCTGTATGTATTTATGTGTATAGTCTTGCGCGATTACGTTCCTGGTGCAAGGATGATCTTACCATTGTCGAAATTCCAGAAAGCGACAAAGTACTGACTATGCTGGTGGAGATCATCACGTTCTGACCATGAGCGTCGCTTTTTTGTTTTTCATACTTGATCAGTGGCTGCGCCATCCAGGTTGAGCAATTTTCTGGTGCGTATGTCTATCGGTTATTTAATTGCAAATTTTTGCCAACTATATGACTTATAACTGCAGAGAACAGTAATAGCATCGATCAACTAGGAACGCTATAACTGTCAATCCACCGCTATTTCAATAGTGGGATATTTCTAAAAGCGAACTTACTACATATAACGGAGAGAGCAACGAAAAGCTAAATACATATTTGTTGAAAGCGCTTGAAAGTGAAGAAAATGTATAACGATGCGCAAATTTATTTCCAGAAATACCAGAAATACCATCAGAAAAATCAGTTATCCTGCGACATCTATTGGACAAAGCAACAGATCTGCTGATTCTAATTTTAGCTGTCGATTGGTTGGTTTGGATTGTGAGTCTCAAGCTGCGCAGTGCACAAACACACAGAGAGAGAGACTGTCACTGAACAGTGAAGAGAGTGCGGCAGTAGGCACTGCGCAACACTGAACACAGCTGTATATTTTTTTAATTTATTTTTTTCTAAACTTTTCAAGTCTGCAGCTCTTTTCTTCTTGTAAATATGTATGCAAATATTGATGTTTCTTCACTTCACTTCAGTGCGCTGTTGTACACGCGCAATCCGCTTACTCTAGCAGTACGGCTTTGTACGGGATATCGATATCCGACCTCGGTGACTGTTGTAAGCATCTCAATTGTATTCCTGTGTGAGTGCTCCATTAATCGCGTTGTAAGTGTCATATTATCATCGCTTCTCGCCCACAAGTCACATTTACTCGCAGTGTATCTAAAACATACTTCAACTTTACGCGGTCGTTGAAACCTTTGCTGTGCTCTGCATCCGGGATACATCAGGCGCTTGACAGGGCTCCACGAACGAAGCCAGATCGTCAAACGTAAGGTCCCTGAGATATATCGCGACAGGGAATAAGGAGATGTGAAGGGCACATCGGCACCGCTAGGTTAACAATGGAGGAATGCGTTGGCCAGTCAAATATAAACAATAAAGCGGTGAGAAACGCATTGAATACTAGGAAAACGGGTCCTTGGATTCTAATGCACAAGCAATCGCTTAGTGTACACACAGCTGCGATCTGATCGATTAAACTCACCTAAATACAACACATGATTTGCAGCAGAATACCATGCCACCTTTCTTTACAAAGCCGTTCAGCAACACTTTCACGTCTTTGAAAGGCTTTCCCAGCACCATGCTATCCGCTGCAATAGCCGAAGAGTCTGTGTCTTTCTTAACCAAGTCCACGCCTTCACCCATGAGTATAAGCGCGGCTGACATACCATTGGCTATGGCACTGTACGGATAATTCGAAATAAATACCTCAATATCGTTTTTCGAAGACATATTTCGCCTACCAATAGATTATATCCCAATAGATTATATTCTTTGAAACGTTCTGCACAGATCAGCGACGAAATAAGCAACTTGCAATATCGGTTACTATGCTAGAATACGTAAAAGTTATAAAACAAGTGTCAGAAGTACATATGTATTCTCAAGACTCGCTACGACATAAATAAACGTACTACATACCCATAAAGCTCGGCCGCAATCACTTGTTTACCCAACTTTCAACACATAAAAACAGTACACAACCCTGCAGCCAACGACCTCTATCCTATTTTAAACACATGTTTCAGCGTTTCGTTGCAGAAGACAGAAATTCCGCTGCGTATACAACGGCTCTCTGTGCCTTGCCAAGGACACTACGTCGACTATTGCATGAGCGCGCACCTCAAAGACAATACAGGCTGCACTCACCCATTGATTACAGAGAGCACAAGCGTGACCTTCTCCACATTGTGTCCATCTAGAAGCAGGTATACGTAATCCTGGATGGCATGGAAATGTTAATTACGCAAAGTCAATGAAGATAGCGCATACTATGACCCAATCAAGGTTGGATGTTATCTAAAACAAAACATGACATATCAGCGATACATTGTACTGAACAAACCCAAACTTCAGCAACCCCGAGTAGAGCTGTCGTCTATTAATGTTCGGATGATAGGAGAGGTAGTCAGTATAAGGCCGGCATATGTGAATGCGAGCCTGTGTATATAAAAGCGGCAGATATTTGTATACTCACCGGGGATACCGCAGCAGGGTTCGTCCAGCCCGTAATTCCCAGCTGTAAAGTGACGGCTTCATATCCCCACCGACGCAACTCCCTAACGGCAATACTCGATCGATAGCCAATATTGCAATAGCACACTATTTTCTTCCCTTTATGCTCCGAGCCTAGCTTCTCTTCAATGGCCTTGTCGGCGGCATCTCTGCGGGATGGATGCAAATATAACAGCGTCAACAGATTCAACATCAAGATGGGCTAGGCTCATACCAGGAGCCAGATGTGAATTATGTATATATATATA